GCCCCCCCGGCCCACCCAGCCTTCGGAGGCCGTGAGCTCGGCGTGCCTGCGCCCGGTCCCGCTGCCACCGCTCCCGGCCTCGTCGAGGGGACTGCGTGGCAATGAGAGCAGGTATTTTGTGAACCGTTGGGGGAAGAGGTGGAAGCGGTGGGGTTTGAATCCGGTTCCTCCTGAAACTCTGTGAGGCTCTGAGACGCTGCTACTGCTCTGCAGCAGGCTCAGCTCGTGGGCAGAAGTCTCCAAGCCATGTGCAAGTCTTTTTCTAATCCTAAAAGCGCAAGAATATTTCAGTGGAAGTGGGAGAAAATCTATTTGTGGCTGTTCGGGTCAGCTTAGGTTGGAAATTCAAAGTGCTGATCGGATGAGCAACCTTTTAACTCTGCACAGCTGCAGCGCGGGGTTGTGAAGGTCCTTCTGCAACCCGAGCTGGAAGCAGTCCCCGTGCCAGGCCCTGCGCTGAGCGCTGCTCCGAAAAATCTCGCTGTGGGTCGGAGCAGACCTCTTGGCAGCCTTGTCCGCGTTTTTGTGTGGTAGAAACACCGGTTGTGTTGTACACACGTAATCTGTTAAATAGCGATGTCTGCGCTGACTGCCCCAGAGGCTTCCGTGCCTCAGCTGCTGTCAGCAGACGTGCCTGTCTCCCGATACGTGTGAGGGGGGGGAAAAAATGGCTTTTACAGTTTTTAGAGCTACACTTTCTTTCCAAAAGGCTCCTTCCAGCCTTTGCCGCTCTGGTTTCTCAGCAGACCTCTGGCGCTCATCCCAGAGGAGAACTCACGGGGCGCGGGGTGCATCTCCTGCCGCTCCGGTTTGGCCAGGACGAATCCGTAACCGCATCCGTAACGCTCTGTGCTCGTTGCGTGTCGACTCTGCGCGTGACCCAAACGCGTTCGGGTTTGCGGGTGCCCCCGAGGCCGGGCAGCGCCGGGCGTTCTCCCGCTGCGAGCTGGCGGAGCGGGACGGAGCCGCGGTGCTGACGGGGTTTCGTGGCTGAGCTCCAGGCGTGGTCGCGTTTGCTTCCAGGCCTTTTGTCCCGTGGGGTGAGCGTGGCCGCGGGGCAGCCTGCGTGGGTGGTTTCTGGACCGGCGTTTGGGTGGGCACCGCTGCCCCGCAGCGCCGGAAGGCAGCAGGTCTGCGTCTCGCAGAGCCGTCCCTCGGTCGAAGCAGTGCCGAGTAACCAAGCCCTTAATGCCCCAATCTTTTGTTGGGCTTGAGAAAACCTCGTGGGATGTTGGTGGTGGTGTCGGGTAGAGCCGCCTGCGGTGGCTGCGCGGCAGCTGCGTCTAAGAGGGGCTCGATGGCTACTGGGTGTGCTCTGGGGGGTCCCGGCGCTAAAAAGCTGGTGTGGTTTGTGCAAAATAGTTGGGCCTGGGTGGATTGATGAAGGGCCGGGTTTCATTTTGCGTTCTGAGAAAGAGATTCTCACTCCGGCTCGGTGGCGGGAGGTGGAGGGCAGAGCGGCGATGGCGATGCTGCAGAGCCTGCTGTCCCGCGGCTGCTGGGACCCGGGCAGCGTGACGCCTGCTCCGGGCCTTGACGACCACCAGGCAGCGACGCCAGCCCCTGGGGCGCGGGGCGGTCGCCCCACA